TATGATCAACTTCCACCAGAAATAGGATTTGCCATTATCCATGATTTTTGCTAACTGTGCTAAGTCTAGGAATATATCCCCTACAGATATGGGAGTTGTACTGTAACCTAATCCAATCCAAAATTACCATTTTTCCCAGTCCAGGAGATGCAGTCAGGAGTAGACACAGAGGAACAGGACCCAAGATCAGCTCACAAATCCTGGCAGAAAATGGAGAGAGAAAGAAGAGACACTTTTATTATCCCACTTGGAGCTGACAAGGAGGTTCTAACTGAAAGAACTTGGGCACAGACTGAATCCAACCCAGCTGGTGGCTTACGTCAGGAGCAGGGAGAACATTTTCTTGACTTCCTGATGACGACAGCATCGTTTTGCTCAGGACAGACACTCTCTCTGCCCTTGTTGGAGTTCATTGGGCGGGAATTCCAGGTCATGGTGAAGGAGGTAACTCATCTCAATAATAATATTTATTTATTTATTTATTTGTATCCCGCCTCTCCCTGTTGAGGATCGAGGTGGGTAACAGCAAAGATTAAAACAATTACAGAAATAATAACAAGAAAATAATCCACAAACCCCCACCCTTTTGACCCACCCTCCCTTCAATATAAAATTACAACAATAAAATCCCTTTAACTAAAAAACAATTAAAACAGTTAATAATAGTGGCAATGTCATGAGGAGCTAGATCAAATGGGCAGTTAGTTCAGATCAGGACAGAGGTCAGTCTGGGAAGGCCCGCCGGAAGAGAATCATTTTTATCGCTTTTTTAAAAACGTCAGGGGATGTAATCTGGCGAGTCTCCTCCGGCAGGTCATTCCAAATTTTAGGAGCAGCAGCTGAAAAGGTCCTCTGGAAAGTCACCACCAGTCTAGTTTTCATTGACTGTACTAAGTTCTTCCCAGAGGACCTGAGTGTGTGGGAAGGCGTTCCTTCAAGTAAGCTGGACTCAAGCCATGTATGGCTTTATAGGTAATAACCAACACCTTGTGCCTGGAAGCTAACAACCACTACCCAGGGGGAAATGGGGCGAGCCACTGTCTCCCAGACTTAGGCAGCAACTCCCAGGGAAACCTGGGTAATTTTGTAGAAGTGAAAGATTTTTTGTGGAGGAGAACAGTTCTGGAGTGAAGATTCAAGAGGGGCCAGGATTAAAAAGCCTTTAGCCTCAGAGATGGGATATTTTGTTCCCCACTCAGTATGTCAAAACAGAGTTTCAGGCTCACAGGGACAAGTTTGGTTTAGGAACACCTGAAATATCATCCTTAGTGGAAGGTTAAGAGTGGAGTTCTTTGCTCTAGATGATGTGCAATAAGTCTTTGCCCTATGGCAAACATTCAATGAAATATTTCATTTTCTCTCTCGTTTAGCTGGGGAGGTCTTTGGAAGATGTTAAATCCCCCGTGTTGGAGCAAGAGCCATCAGATAAAGTGAAAGTGGAGCTCTTGATGGAGACTGTGCAGAAAGACAATGTCCTGGGTAAAGTTTGTCAGAGTACAAATGATGGGATATTATCTGAAAGACTGCCTCCTCTTTGGAGCCTGCCAGAAATTTGAGATCTTCAGAAGAGGCCTTGTTGCACACTTGAAAGACATATTACATGTCCCACTTGGAGCTGACAAAGAGGTTCTGACTGAAAGAACTCAGGCATGGACTGAATCCAGTCCAGCACAGCACAAATAATTATATGTGTTTCTACTCTGGTCAGGCAAGGCTCAAGGCCTATTTAAACAGAGAGGGCTTTGCCTGCCAGTAAAAAGACAGCAGAGAGGGGGCAAATTGAAGCCCTCTTAGAATGAAGTTTCAAAGCACCAGGAGTAGCCACTAAGAAGGCTGTCTCACATGTGCTAACCAGACAAGCCTGGTGGGATGAACTCTGTAGTGTTTGTTTGTATTTAACTGTTTTGTTTTAACAATTTAAAGTAAATAAGTAGAGCCATACTGAATCAGTGAAAAGTCTTGCAGTCTGTTTCTCTAAAGGTTGAGGGAGCTGATGGAGCAGATTTGGGAATAAATGTGGGTTGGAACAAGAAGGGAAAATACCATAAAGCCTGTAAGGGTGCATCTACACTGTATCAACAATGCAATTTGACACCACTTTAATTGCCGTAGGATTGGTAGTTTTGTGAGGCATCCCTCTTTAGCAGAAGAGGTTAAAGACCTTGTAAATCTACAAATCCCAGGATTCCATAGGACAGAGCTATTAAACTGCATTATTTCTGCAGTATGGATGCATCCTAAGATAGCTTTTGAGATATGTTTGGGATACAGCTGCCTCCCTGTGAGAGAGGCCTCAGCTGGTTCACAGTAAGTGAACTTTGTAAGTGGCTCACAGTAAGACTGAGTAAAAATACAATTAAAGCACAAAACAAATCTAAATGCTAAAAATACAGTTTATCAGTCTTTGTAAAGAAATAAATCTCATTGTTTCTTTGCCCCAGGAAATGGTGACCGAGGGCTGGAGTTCAAGGAGAATTTTTGGCCAGAAGTAGCTGAACAAACAAATCTGAGTGGAATATCACTGGAAGGTCTCCCTCCAAGTACTGGCCTTGTTGAGAATCAGAAAATACGAGCAGATGTGACAAAAACATATTCATGTTCATATTGTGGGAAGTGTTTTGATGAGAGTTCGGATTTGGTTACTCATGAGAGGGACCACATCAGGGAGAAGATCTATCAGTGCTCGCACTGTGAGAAACGGTTCTCTTATCACCCTGACCTCCTGGCACACAAGAAGAACCACCAGGGTGAGGATCCTCACCTTTGTGCTTTGGACTGCAGCAAATGCTTCAAGCAGAGTACTTTCCCCATGATGCACCCAAAGACTCCTTCGGGAGAACAAGCATGCCAGTGCCCTGTCTGTGGAGTAAACTTCACATGGAAATCAAATCTTATTAGACACCGGAAAACACACACAGGAGAGAAACCGTATTCGTGCTCTGAGTGTGGCAGAAGCTATACCCGCAAAACGGCCCTCGACAGACACAAGAGAATCCACATTGGGGAAAGATCCTGTGTTGGTGATCCTCCAAGCATAGGGCAGCCTTCAATATGGGTTCTTCAGTTATGAATCATTGGGGTGAAAAAGAGGTCAGGGATGGTACACATCTTATTGGTGTTTGTGTGCTGTGGGAGCACAATAGCCTAAAGATCACCTGCTCTGTTCAGTGACACGGTCTTGTCAATCTGAGATAAATACTGGCAATGGTAAAATGCAGCAGGTAGACAATCCAAGAACAGGGAATCTGGGAGCAAAGCTAGAGAACAGGGCTGGGGTAAAAAGAGTGGTTTAGGGAGTTTTGTATGTGTAGTGTGGGGAGAAGAGAAGGTTAAAGGGTGACATGATAGTCATGTTTAAATATTTGAAGGGATGTCATATTGAGAATGGAGCAAGCTTGTTTTCTGTTGCTCCAGAAAATAGGGCCTGGAACAATGGAGGCAAACTTTAGGAAAAGAGAGTCCACTTAAACATTAGGAAGAACCTCCTGACTTTAAGAATTGTTTGATAGTGGGATACTCTGCCTCGGAGTGTGGTGGAATCTCTTTTGGAGGTTTCTAAACAAAGTCTGGATGGCCATCTATCGGAAGCGCTTTGATTGTGTCTTTCTGCATGGTAGGGGGTTGGATTGAATGACCCTTGGGGGTCTCTTTCAAGTCTAGGATTCTATGAAAAACAATAAAGTTCTGTTTGCAAATTGGGTAAGCCAGGTGAAGGCAATCCAGAGCCAAAATCAAGCAAGGTCTAGCAAGAATAATTCAGAAGAGGAAGTTGGTTGGGAATGTCCAAGAGATGTCTAAAGTTAAGCACCATCAGATCAGGTTACAATAAGAGGCAAGGAACAGCTAGCAAGATCTTTTCAGACAGCCATTTCTTAACATGTTGACTGAGGGCCTTTGCAGACTGCCAAAAATAGTGCAAATTGAGTCCACTTTAAGGGTTAGGGTTAGTGCTAGGGAATCATGGGAATTGTATTTTTTTCTGTGACATTGAACCTTCTCTGTCAGAGAGCTCTGGTGCCACAATAAAATACACTTTCCATGATTCCCTAACCCTTAAAGTGGACTCAATTTGCACTATTTCTGGCAGTCTGCAAAGGCTCTGAGTCTCCTCTGAGGTTTTTATAGCTGGTCTGCCTGAGATATCCAGAGCTAAGGTGCAGCCATCATCCCATAAAGCCTTCCTGGGAAATGATCATTTCACTTGAGGGACCTCTTACTTTTGATGTGTCCCCATTTTCAAGGAGACCTTCCAGGATAGCCTCTGGCCCAGCTGGCATCTTCATCTAGCATTATTTCTATGCACTGGGAAGGGTTTCTGGCCTCCTCATCTTAATACTGAGTGTTGTTCCTTTCCATCTTTGAATGCATTTTCAGGGAGTCAAACTATTCCTTGCTGAAGAAGTCCTCCAGGTGAGAGCATGATACCAATCTCCTCTCCAGGACTATGCTTTTTCTGGCTGCTCAGTTGGTTTTGTTTAGGAATTGGAACAAGACTGGACAATCTATCTTTGATGCATTTTCCCATATCTGGTTTTCCAGTCCCTTTTAATCAAATAAGTATGGGATATGCCCCTGAGAGCCTACAATACAGGGAAATGTACCTAGCTTCCTTGTCACCATTCAGTGGGGCAGGATAAGGTCAATTCTGAAAGTGAAGTTCTGTCAAGCCAATAAGTAGATGATAAAATAAACAGTTAATTCTGAAAGAAGTCTGCAATGAAAAGTGATAGGCCACTGTTTGGCAAGTGCTAATAAAACAAGCATCCCATTCATGTTTTGGGAAGCAATAAGTGGATAGCCATACTTGACCATTCACTGCCGAAGCTGTGGCTGGTTGTCCTTCCTCGCCCATAAAGGGCTTGTAGACCTGCTAGGTTTTGTCTGATTGTTCCTGCTGTGCAAATCTTGGCATTGTCGACACATTTCATCCACAATAGGGGTCTTTAAATTCAGGGAATCAGCTGGGAAGAATTAGGGGTGGTAACCCATAATGTAAGCGAGCCAGCGTGGCGTATTGGTTTGAGCATTGGACTGGGACTCTGAAGACCAGGGTTCAAATCCTGGTTCGGCCATGTAAACCCACTGGATGACCTTGGGCAAGTCACAGTCTCTCAGCCTCAGAGGATGGCATTGACAAACCTCTTTTGAAGAAACTTGCCAAGAAAATCCTGTGATAGCTTCATCTTAGGGTTGCCATAAGTAGGAAATGACTTGGAAGGCACAACAACAGCAACAATCCATAATTTAAAGGAAAGGGTGTTTGGAGGATGGTGGCATGTGGAGAATTTGAAGGCTGGTGACATCAGCAGTGCTGAAAATTGCTTTTCATCTAGGGAAAGGTTTGGCTCCCTCCCTACCTTCTGGGAGGTGAAATTAACCAGTGGTTATAAGTAAACTTTACTAGTAGCATCTCAGCCCAATTATCTTCTTGGAAATTTTACATAACACTGGAACCATTGTTCTAGTGGAGCATTAGTCCATTTAATTTGCCCTTGTAACAGGATTGTGGGCCCTGGGCAGGTGGAACTATACATTAATGCTTTAAACAAGGTATGCCAGAAATTAACTAGGTGCCTTGAAGATGAATGATGTGCAGGTGGAAGGCCTTCAGGTGGATGATGTGCCACATGAATTGTTAAGTAGTTTCCTTGGCCAAAGGGGTTATGAATAAGGAATGAAATGTGCCTTATTTAGATAGTTTCTGCAGGCTTTTTGGTCTAATTCTTGATAGAGTGACAGATGACCCATGCAGCAAGATAGTGTTAGCATGGAGGTTGGCCAGCAAAGGTCCATTGTGATCAGGCAAAGTGTGTAAAAATCAAAATGTCCAGCAGGCCAGCTATCAGAACAAGGCTGAACTACCTCTGCTTCCATATGATACCTTCCTCAATTGTATAAGGAAGGGAAAGTAAGATGTTTCTGAGGCCTCATGGTCTTCGTCACCCACGTAGGTGATGTTGAGTGTGTGGATCCTGCTGTTACTGCACACAGTCATGTCTTCCATGGATACATTGATTAGATGATTGCAACTTTTTCTGGGATCTCAGATACATAATCCTCCATTTTTGGTTCCAGAATACAAGCTGAGTCTCCCTTATCTGAACTGCTTGGGACCAGATGTGTTTTGAATTTCAGATTTTGGAACATTTGCATATACATAATGAGATGTCTTGGAGATGGGACCCAAGTCTAAACGTGAAATTCATTTATATTTTGTTTACACCTTATGCATATAGCCTGCAGTTTATTTTATACATAATATTTTTAATAATTATGTGCAAGAAACCAAGTCTGTGTACCCTGAACTATTAGAAAGCAAAGTTTCAATCTCTCAGCCACCCATGAGGACAATTTTGGAGTTCAGAGGATTTTGGAATTCTGAATAAGGGAGATTCAGCCTGTAATCCTTTTTTCAGGACAGAGTATCTGCTTGTGAGGTATGCGGGCCAAGGTTGTGTGACAGCTTGAAGTCAAATTGTGAGAAGAACAGGGGCTACCAGATGTTGTTGGTTTTGGTCTCTCATCTGCCCCAGTGAACATGGTTTACCAAGGATGATGGGGAGGGTACAATCCAAATTCAGCAAGATCAGGAGGGCCACAAATTCTTCACTTCTACTGTAGGAGTTATGAAATACGAGTGGATGTGGCCAGAGTTCCCAGGAAAGCTCTTGGCATGGTAGTCCCTAAGGAAACTGGTGCAGTAGTCAGTAAGCAGTATTATTTAAGTCAAATTTTCCATAAAATCTTCTAGAACACAGCCTCATAGCCCCAAAAACCCACAAAAAACCATGGATGCCGGCTGTGAAAACTTTCGACTTCACAAGTTTTTCACTGTTTAAATTGCAGTAGGACCATGCTGCCATGCTGGCCTTAGATTTCAGTCGCCTGTTAAGGATGAAATATTGATTAGATTCTTGCAACAGGCAGAGTTTTGGAACACAATTGTTAACACTCATTTGCATTTGCATATTGATGAAGAAAATTCATATATTCATTTTAACCCCTTTGAGAAACTTTATTCATTAATTTCAGTTCCTGAGTGATGTGTTAAATTGCTAAGTTAAAAATACTATTTAAAATGCTAAAAAAAAGATGGTAAAGAATTAAAGTGATGAGAACTATGAGTCATTACTCAGAATTGAAATTGTTGACATTTCATGAATAAAAGAACATTTTAAAAAAAATATTGAAAATGTTAATAACAAAAGATAAGTATTCAATACTTAACAAATGTTTTCCAAACTCCAGTATTGGATGGTTGCTTTACTTTCCAAACTCCAGTCTTGGATGGCTACCTAATTTATTGATTTACTTTATTTCATTTGTATGCCACCTTTCTCTCAAGAGTGGGATCCTAGTCAACTCCCAGAGACAGTAGGTTCAAAAGCCTTCACAGTAAAATATAAAAACAATCAGGTCACTACAAAAAACAAAACAAAAAACACCCAGTATAAAGTCATTTTCAAAACATAGAATATTTGAAAACAATAAATAAAATATCCCATAAATATATAAATAAAACACCTACCACCACCACTGCTACCTGGATCTCCCACATTTTCACCTTGTGTGCTCATCCTTGCTTGCTTGCTTGTTTGCCCATTCCCTTTGTTGCTATAAGGTACTTGTGGCTGCTTTCTCCATCCCTTTGTTGCTATAAGGTACTTGTGGCTGCTTTCTCCATCTCCCTCATGCCCTCTTCAGTAGTTCTGTGGTGAGAGATTTTCTCCATCTTTCTCCATCTCCCTCTTGCCTTCTTCAGTGGTTCTGTGGTGGGAAGTTGCTCCTGAGCTACTGCCATGGAAGAAGTGGAAGCTTGCCAGTTTCTTCACCTTGTGTGCTCATCATGACAGGTTGCTTGCTTGCTTGCTTGCCCACTCCCTTGGTTGCTGTAAGGCACTTGTGGCTGTCTCCTAGGTCTCCCTTATCCCCTCTTCAGTGGTTCTGTGGTTGGAGGTTGCTCCTGGGTTGCTGCCACAGAAGAAGTCAAAGGCTGACTGGCTCCTTCACCTTGTGTGCTCATTGTGACAGGTGGCTCACTTGCTTCCCCACTCCCTTGGTCTCTATTAGGCACTTGTGGTTGCTTCCTAGGTTTTCCTTGTCCCCGCTTTGGAGGTTCTGTGGTGGAAGATTGCTCCTGGGTTGTTACTATGGAAGAGGCCAAAGGCTGTCTGGCTTCTTCATCTTGTGTGCTCGTCATGATGGGTTGTTCACTTGTTTCCCCATTCCCTTGGTCTTTGTAAGGTGCTTGTGACTGCTTCCTAGGACTCCCTCAGCCCCTTTTCAGAGGTTCTGTGGTAGGAGGTTGCTCCTGAGTTGCTGTTGTGGAAGACGTGGAAGGCTGGCTGGTTCCTTTGCCTTGTGTGCTCATTGTGGCAGGTTGCTTGCTCACTTGCCCACTCCCTTGGTCACTGTATGGCACTTGAGGCTGCTTCCTAGGTGCCCCTTTTGCCTTCTTCAGTGTTTCCGTGGTGGGAAGTTGCTCCTGAGCTACTGCCATGGAAGAAGTGGAAGCTTGCCAGTTTCTTCACCTTGTGTGCTCATCGTGACAGGTTGCTTGCTTGCTTGCTTGCCCATTCCCTTGGTTGCTGTAAGGCACTTGTGGCTGTCTCCTAGGTCTCCCTT